CACACTTGAGAGGTGGGAGGTGAGGCTTAGAATCACATCAATACTAAAGAAAGCTCAGTGATCTTTGCTTAATAAGTAAGAAGATGGTGGGTGCAGTAAGTGCCCACTTAGAGTGACACTGTGACCGAGGACAGCTGTGGGTGCTTTATGTCTCCAGAAACTATAACGTGTTGTGCTCATTGCTACTTGTTTTGTCCTGAGAGAGAGGCTTTATTCAGTTGGGCCTCCAAAAATGCTGGTGCTCCCAGACACTGTACCCCAACTTTGACCGATAGAGCCCATGGAGTTTATGTGCAGCCCACACCAAAGCCAGGACAAAAGGAATGACCTTAGATTAGACTTGCTTTGTGAGGCCCTACGTAGGGAAACATTGGCCTGAGCAGATTTCAGTACAGTATAAGGAACTACTGCCAGATGTGGCAGAGATGAGGAGGATTGGGGTCTGAAGCCAGCCCAGGCAAATAGTTTGTGAGACCCTATCTCAAAAACGCCTAAAACAAAAAGGGCTGGTGGAGTGAATCAAGGTGAAGACCCTGAGTTCAAGCCTCAGTACTGCTAAAAAAAAAAAATGCTGAAGAATTAGAAAAGTTAGAATATGTCACATCCTCATTGACATATGTGTAGGTTATTTATAGTTTTCACTGCTTGGAATATAGCCTTTTTTTTTTTTTTTTTTGAGATAGGGTCTTACTTTGTAGTCCAGGTTGGTCTTGAACTCTAGATCCTACTGCCTCTGCATACCCGAGTGCTGGGATTACAGCCATATGTCACCACATCCAGCCAGAATATAGCTTTGTGTACTTGCTCAGATACATTTTCTGGATCGAATTCTAGAAATCGGAGGTTCTCTTGAAAGGTTGCTTTTATATCTTACAGATTCTGCCCAGTTGCCTTCCAAAAGGCTGCATCAATTTGTTCCTTATATAATACACCCTTTTCCACAAAACCTTTTGTAAGGAATATTATCATTCTTTCCACTATTTCCAATCTGATTGATAATATTTCCAAGACAGTTAATTGAGCTAAAAAATTCAGGGGTGGGACAAGAGATGAACAGGAGTGGGAGGGATAGGGAATGTAAGAGACTGGAAGGAGTACCTGTGAGCATCAGAGGCCCAAGCGTTGGAGGTGAGATGAATTAGGGGAGGCCCTTGTGTTCAGGGATCAGGGGAAACAGGTGAAGTCAGAGCAGGACAGGGACTGAAGAGAAGTAAAAACAAAACTCGCTACCAATGAGCCTGCTGTTGCTGCAGCCCCTCTGGGCTAGAACTGCATATCCAACCTCTACTGTTCACGTTGCAGAGGAAGCAAGCAGACACACAGTGGGTCTTGGCTACACCGAGTGGTCAGATACCTTTTTAGCATAGGAAATAACTTTAGGTATTTACCTAAAACAGTGAGCTTGGAGCCAGGCATCGGTGGCTCACGCCTCTAATCCTAGCTACTCAAGGAGGCAGAGATCAGGAGGATTGAGATTTGGAAGCCAGCCCCGGCAAATAGTTCGAAATAGTGTCTCGAAAAAACACTTTACAAAAGGGCTGGTGGAGTGGCTCATGGTGAAGCCCTTGAGTTCAAGCCCCAGCCAGGACTGAAGAAAAAAAAAAAACAACAAGAGTTTGAAGTTGTAAAATTTCTGGAAATATTGAAATCTGAAGGAAGAGAAAATCTAGGGGGAAAATATAACCCTTGTTTTTCTAGTTTCTTTTATAAATGTAAAGTTGTATTTTTGACAACGTGCAATTTTATTTCCTTACAAATGATTGTGTATGGCATCTAAATTTACAATGGGACTTATTCATGCAATGTTAATCAGTCCTAATTATTTATATTTATTTATTCCTTAGTAATAAGTGCTTGGTATTGAACCCAGAGCATCTCACATGCTAGACAAGCACTCTAGCACTGAACTACTTCCCCAGCCCTGATCTTACTTTTAAATGCTTTAGTATTTGTAATTAAAAGCTGTTGATCTTGAACTGGAGGAGTGGCTCAAGTGGTAGAGCATCTGCTTTGTAATTGTGAAGCCCTGAGTTCAAACCCCAGTCCCACCAAAGAACAACAACAAAAAAAACCTGCTGATTTTAAACATATACTGTAGTTTTATTGGTTATAAGAAGTGGCTGAGACAGAGGGATTATGAATTCAAGGCCAACCTGGGCTACATAGCAAAAAAAGAAAGAAAGAAGTGGCAAAAGGTAGAAATAATTAACAAAATTCAAGGAAAATTAATAAAATAACTATATGTGTATGATATTAATTAATATCTGACTTTGGGGAATGGGATAAGCTGGAGTGTGGAAGATGCAGGGGAGAGAAAAAGACTTTATCTTCAGAAATATTGCTGCACAGGTGGGCGCAGTGGCTCATCCCTATAATCATAGCTACTTGAAAGGGGCTGGAGAACGGAGGCAGAGATCAGGGGGATCGAAGTTCGAGGCCAGCTTGGGCAAAAATTTGTTGAGGTAAGGTTCCACCTCACCCAGTATCTGGGCATGGTGGTGCACTTGTTATTCCAGCTATTTGGCAAGTGTAACATTGGAGGATTTGAGGCATAAATGTTATACCTTATCCCCCAAGTAACTAAAGTGAAAAGGAATATGTGCATGGCTCAAGAGGTAGAGCATCTTGCTAGCAAGTGTGAGGCCTCGAGTTCAATACCCCCAGTACCATGGGAAAAAATGCTGTGGAAAAGAAAAATAAGGGATTCTCTTTCTTTCTAAATTTGCTTAATGTGACTTATTGTAATGTGGAACCTTGCCAAAATAGTTGGATATGATCTGCTTCCCAATACCTTGTTGTGAAAATAGGCCCCATGCTCAGCTCTATCCCTTCCATCTATCTGTGCATCCACACCGCACCCATCCAGCCATTGCCAACAATGAGTAATAATTAGTGTTTATGTGTGCCAGGGACTGTTCAGGTGCTTTACATACGTTATCTCTAACAATCTTCCCACCAGTGCTATGAGGGAACTGAATGTGAGGGTCCCCAGTAAATTACGCACAGGATTACCACATGACATAGCAATTCCCCTTATAGGTGTGTGTCCCAAAGAACTGAAAACAGGTGTTCAAACAAAAACCTGCCCAGGGATGTTCATGGCAGATTTTCCATATAGCTGAAGGTGGAAGCAGCATATTAGCGCTCATACAGAGGTACATGGATAAAGAAAAGTGGGGAACCTGTGCAGTGCACTGTTCATCCGGGAGAGGGAGGGAATTCTGACTCATGCTGCCACCTAATGAACCTTGTGAAGTGAAAGAAGTCAGACACAAAAAGTTGCATGTCATATATTCCATTTATATGAAATCTCCAGAATAGGGAAACCCACGGAGACAGCAAGCAGATTTGTGGTTGCCAGGGGCTGGGGTGAGGACAGTATGGGGGAGTGGCTCCTTAGTGGGAATGGGGTGTTTGTGTGGGGTGATGCAAAAGTTTTGGAACTTGACTGTGGGAATGGCTGTAAACATTGTCAAGGTACTCAACGCCACTGAAGTGTACACTTTAAATGGTTAAAATGGTGAGTTTTATGTTCTATGCATTTTATGATAATTTTTTAAAAATTGCTGCTCAGACAATTTAAGTGACTTATCTAAAATCAGCTGATGTGTGGTTGAATTGTGGTTTTTTTTTTCACTACTGCGGTTTGAACTCAGGATCTCACACTTGCTAGGCAGGCGCTCTACCACTTGAGCCACTACACCAGCTCACCTTATTTATTTTTATATAGGGAAAAGAACACTCAAAATTTATTACATGCCTAGCCTAGGGTGTGTAAGGATCAAAACCAATTATTAAACAATACAGTTGAAAACTTCATTGGGGCCATTTGAGAGGTCTAGATCTTTCAGTTATCTTTTGCTATCTGCACACAGCAAAGACTTGGGAAACGAACCGTTATGCCTTAGAGCCCAGGAGAGCCTCAGCTTGCAGACCAGAGGGTCACCTGTTTCCCCTGCCATTCTTGTCCCTTTCAGGTAGAGGGAGGACCCAGGATCATGGCTGCTGCTCACGATTTGGAGTTGGAGAACCTGAATATGGAGAGAGGAAGGAGAGAAGAGCTGGAGGATGAGAAACTGAGAGAGGATAGGGCAGGTAATGATCCCCCCAAGAGCAGGAAGGTGCACAGAATCGTCTCCAAGTGGATGCTTCCTGAGCAGGTCCGAAGAACATACCTGGAGAGAGCAAACTGCCTCCCACCCCCGCTGTTCATCATCTCCATCAGCCTGGCCGAGGTCAGCACTGGGTGGTGGGCACTAGAGCACTCCCAGGGGAAGTAGCCCACCAGGTGGGGGCAACACCTAGGTCTGGAGAAGCACTGGGCAATGTAAGAGCTTGGGAAGGTCAAGTCCAGCACACGCTGAACTTCACACCTCTCCCAGAGCTTCCTGTGTCCTTTGCAATTTCAGTGGCTTCATTTCATTTTAGCTGGTGGGGTCTTTAGAAACCAAGCAACCTTGGGGTTGCAAATTGACTTTGTCTTATGGAACAACTCCGGTTGGTTGGTAAAGTCTATCTAGAGCATGTGTTTAGAAGAGTCACAGTCACACACTACCTTGAATTTAAGAGGAAACAAGTGGATCCTTGGAGGATGTTTACTTTGGGCAGCGTGGGGTGTGTTCTCGGACTATGACCTGGTCAGCTCTATTGAGTTCCAGAAAAGAGTGCAAGGCTTAGGGAGGTGGGATGACTTGCCCAATGGTATCTCTTAGTGACTGGGCATGGCTAGGCTCCTTCTGAGCCTCGTGACACCAAGCTTTTTCTTCTACATGTGAGGTCTTATGGAAGAATGGACAGAGCGTAGCCGCCTGTGGGGTGACTTCAGGAGCTTTAGGATGTCACTAACGTAATTCTCCTAATTCCTTGCCATGCCTGAGCCTCCTTATCGGGGAACTTTTTTATTTATACCTTTTATTCAGATGAACACACCAGCGAGAATCAAACTTGTCAAATCTTCCAAATGGCACTTTTTTCCCATCAAAAGGTAGTTATGGAAATGGCCCAAACAATGTATGCACATATGAATAAATGAATAAAAAAAAGGTAGTTATGGCTCAAGAAACAATTTGGATTATACTTGTCTCCAAAATGTTTATCAAAGCCTGTATTTGTCACAGGATTTTGAAATGCATAGAAAATAAGAAATATTCCAATGACTGAAACATACCAAATGTTAGTAATAAATAAGACAAAAAAATCCAGTCTGTATTTGCAAAGTAAGCAAGGAAAGTCAGTCTTTTTCCTCTTTTTAAAAAAAATCTGTTACATCACCAGGCGCCGGTGGCTCATGCCTGTAATCCTAGCTACTCAGGAGACAGAGATCAGTAGGATCATGGTTGGAACCCAACTGGGGCAAATAGTTCAAGAAACCCTATCTCGAAAAAACATTCACAAAAATAGGGCTGGTGGAGTGGCTCAAAGTGAAGGCCCTGAGTTCAAGCCCCAGTACCGCAAAAAAAAAAAAAAAAAATCTGTTACTAGGCTCAAGTGATAGAGCACCTGTGTAGCAAGCACAAGACCCTGAGTTCAAACTCAAGTACCATCAAAAAAACTTTCAGATTTTGGAGTATTTTGGATGTTATATTTTCAGATTAGGGATGCTTAACCTGTACTGTGAACTAAAACCCAGATTTTACTTAGAATTTTATCTGTTTCCCAATTAACGTCCCCTTTCTACCCCTCTGGTTCTCTCCAATCCAGGGTTTCACACTGCATTTAGTTCTGTCTCCCCAGGCTCTGATCTGTGACAATGTCTCAGTCACTTTTCATGACCTTGATAGTGATGAGGTGCATTGACCAGGTATCTGTAGAATGACCCTCAGTCTGGGTTTGTCTGATGTTTTTCTCATGATTAGACTAGACCTATGGGTTTAGGGGAAGAATAGTGTGGATGAAGTAGCCTTCTCCTCACAGCAGAGGACATCATTAGAAGGTCAGTGTTGACTTTCATCATTTGATTAAGGGTGTTTTGCTAGGTTTCTCCACTGTGAAGTTACTGTCTTTCCCTTTTTATTCTTTGAAACCCAGTATTGACTTACTTTCATATTAATTGCAAATGAAAGGTCCAGTGGTGGGGTGGGAAGGTGAGGGGAGTGGGTGTGTAGGGGGAGGGTGGTAGAGAACATAGTGCTAGACAGCAGGGTGCTAAGCAGGGGAGGGCATTCAGAAAGAGTCTTCCTTACACTCTTAGTGCTGCTCCTAGGCATGGGAGGAAGGGGGACATGAGCACAATGGGGAATGGTGGGGAAATCGGGTTGCTCTCATCTTGTGACCACTCGAGAGCTAATCACTTAAGCATCGCTACTGCCCATGCGTTTCACTGGGACTGCTCTCAGGAGAAGCTGAGCTAATGTTCATGTCGGCCCCTCTCTGACAGCTGGCAGTGTTTATTTACTATGCTGTGTGGAAGCCTCAGAAACAGTGGATCACCTTGGACACGGGCATCTTGGAGAGTCCCTTCACCTACCGTCCTGAGAAGAGGGAGGAGGCCTGGAGGTTCATCTCATACATGCTTGTCCATGCTGGGTAAGGAAGGAAGTTTGGTCATTGGTGTCAGAAGCCATTATAAATAACTGTCACCTCTAATGTGTCCAGAACTTAACAATTGACAAAGCACTTTCGTGTCCAATACACACAAACATACACACCTTTTTTTTTTTTTTTAGGGTAGAACCTAGCATTTTGTTTAGATTTTTCATTAGACCGTTGGAATTGAGAACCAGACACTTGTAATACACCTCCATAAATAGTTCCCAAAAGGCACTTTGTGCTTAGGCCAGCAGTCATGGGACAAGCATGGAGACAGCTTGGCTTCTCTGTGTTGTTCCAGCTCTGCCCTCCCTCCTTATAACACAACTAGGCCCCTGTAGGTCTAACCTAGGTTTTTCTGTAGGACACCTTGGCCTGCCTGGGAATGCTGAAAACATGTTATTAAAGGAATCATGATGTTGAGGAAAAAAAAAATCTTTTTTTTTTTTTGAGAGGGAGGTTTGAACTCAGGGCCTCTCACTTGCTAGGAAGATGCTCTACCACTTGAATCTTGCCTACAATCCTTTTTGCTTTAGATATTTTTTGGATAGGGTCGAGTTTTTGTCCAGGGCTGCCGTGATCCTATGCCTCCTATGTAGCTGAGATGATAGGTGAATACCACCATGCCCAGTTTGTTGGTCAAGATGGGGTCTCACTAACTTTTTGCCTTGGCTGGCCTCCAACTGAGCACTTCCTGATCTCCATCTCCCATGTAGTTGATATTACAAGCGGAAGCCTCCACTCCCTCCAAAAAAATCTTTTGAAAACTGTCATCTGAAGTAATGGCTTCTCTGTACTTATGCCACATCCCGGAATACTATAAATAAGCAATTAGAATTTTTAGAATTTCTAATACAATTTAGAAAGTATAAAGGGATTTCTCCCTCCCGGCCAAAAGCGCTGCTTTATGAAGGAAGCTGGGTTCTCTGCAGCTACACCAGCTGTTCAGAAAGCTACCTGGTTTTGAAAATAAAACAAAGTTACAGCCCTTGGAGAAGTTACTGTGCCTTCACAGTAACTTTTCTTTATAAAGAAAAAAGTTATCGGCACCAAAGTGTGCAACTTGTAGTTCCTCAGGCACTGCCCTGTGCCTTCATTCTGTATGTGCAGCCTGTCTACTGTCTTGTTTGAGCATCATGGCAGCCTAGGAGGAGCGTTTCTCACCATTTCACAGTTGAGTTGCAGAGCAAGGACCTCCACCCGCTGGTGCTGACTCTCAGCCAATGAGCTTCACACTGCACTATAACTGCCTGATGTTGGTGCTGATATGACACATTAGTGAGTAGAGACCAAACCCTCTGCAAACCAAAAGGAGGTCCTCCCTTTGCTGGGTGTTGCTGAATGTTTCCTTTAGGTGATGAAGAGGAACTGAATCACCAGTCTGCCTCCCCACATATATATTTTTAAAAAAATTAACTCACGAACATTTAGACTAGTATGTGACACTTGTCCATCTGAAATATGCAGGAAGTAGCAGAACCACGCCTGTCTTGTAGCTTTGCTTCTTGTTTCTTTCTTTCTCCCACAGTACTGGGGTTTTGAACTCAGGGCCTCATGTTTGCTAGGCAGGTGCTCTATCACTTGAGCCACTCCACCAGGCCTTTTTTGTGGTGGGTTTTTTCAACAAAGGGTCTCACAAACTATTTGACGGGGCTGGCTTCCAACCTTCCAACCTTGATCCTCCTGATCTCTGCCTCCTGAGTAGCTAAGATTACAGAGTAAGCCCCTGGCGCCCATCTGCTTCTAATTTCTTAAATGACAATAGCTTTCCATGACCTCACTCAACATCCGTCATCACCCACGTCCTGTCTCCTGCAGCCAATGAGCAGCTTGCTGCTGACCCCACCTCTTTGGTGGGGCCCTGTGGTATCAGGGGAGGCCAACCTTGTCGGTGACTACCCATCCCTTGACTTGAAAGGATCATTCTCTTGGCCAGTGGCTAAAGAGTCATCCATGGTAGGATGCAGGACTCAGAGACTTGACAAGGCAGAGACAAAACTCCCAACTGCCCAGTTTCTGTAGACACTTCCACACTTGATTTTCCACTTACTAAGTATATTCTGGGGGGGGTGTGATTAGCAAATGTAAGGTCCTAAGTTCAAACCCCAGTATTGTTGAAAATATATATATACACATACATATATAGATACACACACATATATAGATACACACACACACACACACATATATACTTTCAGCAAATGTGGCTTCTGCATTCAAGGACTTTAAAATTATAAGAGGAACAGTTGGTTAAATAGTAATGAAGGCAGTACGGTACTATAGTATACAGTAGCTACTCAACTTCCTTGTGCGTCAGTTTTCTCATCTGTAAAATGGGATTGTTGTGTTTACCTCATAACGTTGTTATGATTCAATGAGACAATGACCATAATTTTCACAGTACCTGATACATAATAAGGCACTCAAAAATATTTCTCAAGGCTGTGCAGGATGTGTCACAAATGGGGTTTATATAAGTTAGAAATGCTTTTGGATGTAAGTAACAACAACAAACTGACCTCCAGGGACTTAAACAGAGGCCAATTTGTTTCCCCTGTGAGAAGTGCAGAGGCAGGTGGTCTGTTTGTGAGTCACATGAAACCAGGGTGCCAGCTCCTGGGCTGGCCTCTCTCCTCTCCAGGTGGCCTTTCCTCTCATGTTTGCCAGCTGGCTGCTATAACTCTTCATTCAAAACAAAAAGAAGGGCAGCGAGGTGCCAGGTACTGGTGCATACATTCTTCTTGTCAAGATGGAAGTGCTCTTAAAAGTTCAATAGTGCCCTTTCTTGTGTTATTGGCCAGGACTACATGACATGGCTGCCTCTAGCTAAGAGAGCTTGGGAGAGTCAGCATTAGGTCCTCCAGGTTCATGGGAGGAGGCGTTGGGCTAAGTACAGCATAATATAAACAAAAAGAGGGAACGCTTGGAGTGGGGATGTTTTCATGGATAATAAGGTTTGAGCTAGATCGTAGAGGGTAGGTAACATTCAGATGAAAGAATTACTATTTCTATTTTATGTAGGTAACAGGATCTCTTTTTTTTTGGTGAGACTAGGATTTGAACTCATGGCCTCACACTTGCTAGGCAGGCGCTCTACCACTTGAGCCACTCTGCCTGCCCTTTTTTGTGATTTTTTTTTTTTTTTTTGAGATAGAGTCTCCCGAACTATTTTCCTGGGCTGGCTTCAAACTTTGATCCTCCTGAGTAGCTAGGATTATAGGTGTGAGCCACCAGCGCTCAGCTAGGATCTCATCTTTATGTCAATTTTATACTGCTGTTGAGCAGCAGAAAGAGGGTGGGGGTGACTTTCTGGAGTTTTCAGTGTTGGTCACCTTAACCTTGGGGAGTTCACAGAGGACAGGGTGGCTGTTCTGTCCTGGTCTTTGACCTTCTCATTCATATTCAGGAGGTGATATTTCTAATCCCCTTCATGTCTGAGCTCTCCAAACAACTAGTGTAAGTGTCCCTGCTAGACTATTCTACACTGAATTACATGTCACCTTTCAACTACCTTTGAAGATGGCTTGGATGATGATGTAGCTGGGTGCACACAGGGCCACAGAGGTAAGTAACCCATTCTGTGGAGAGTGGCCAGAGAATCCTTCAGCGAGCTGCTGGATACTCATTAAGTAACTGATGGTGCCAAAAGCCTCCCCAAACCTAACTTGAAGGCTGCTGTCCTGTGGAAGACCCAGTACTGACTTTGTTAACTTTTTGGTTTCATCTGAAATCTTAGAAAACACAAACAAAAAAACAACAAAAAAATCCCATTTTACTACATAGCAGCAAAACTAGGGTCTCCTCTAATGTGGAAAATTTGAAATTATATTCAGAGATTCTCCAGAGATAATTGTGGAGTTTGATTAGCAAGATGGTAAGAATTTCACTTAACAGTATTTTCACTAGACTGGGGATGTAGCTCAGTGGCAGAGCATTTTCAAACACATGCATGGCCCTGGGTTTTATCCCCAGCACCACAAAAAAAAAAAGGAAATTAAAAAAAAATATGTGGACAAATATGTATATTTACCTATTTAAAAACTGTAATAAGGGACTGGTGGAGTGGCTCAGGTATGAATACCTGCCTAGAGCGTGTGAGGTCCTGAGTTCAAGTCCCAGTCCCCTGATCACCCACATCCTCCAAAAAACCTGTAATAAGCTGGGTGCAGATGACTCATGCCTATGTTCTAGCTACTTAAGAGGCTGAGATTGGGAGGATCAGAGTTCAAGGCAAATAGTTTGAGAGAGACCACCTCCAAAATAAACAGTGAAATGAACTGGAGATGTAGCTTAAGTGGTAGAGCACCTACTTTGCAAGTGCAAAGCCCTGAGTTCAAACTCCAGTTCCATTAAAAAGAAAAAAAATTGTAATAAAAACCTCACATTCAAATATATTACATCATACTACTACATAGGACATACCAACTTTAGCTAGTGTTAAAGGTAACTTCCTTTTTTTGGGTGCTGAGGATCAAGCCCAGGGCCTGGCTCATGCCAGGCAAGTGCCTTACTGTGTGAGTTCCATCTCCAGCCCTCAAGGTAACTTTTTAATGTAGAAATAGGAATGAAGCTTCTCTTGAAATATCTGTTTTAATATATAGCCTATGATTGCAAGACAGACAGTTAAAAATGTATTGATTTAAGCTCAGTGAATGAATTAGAATTTTCTGAAAACAATGCCATAGAAACAAAATCAGACACTGAGGCTGACAATTGTAACTGTCATCCAGACCCCTTAATTTTAAGTTTATATTCCTTAAAGCTGCATCCTGGATCTCTGTCTTTTGCTATAACTGTTACAAAACACAGCTTGAAAATGCATTTATACTTTCAAAATGCTCTTTGATCTGTTTTATGTACTGAAGATTCATGTAAGATTTTATATCAAAAGAGAAAAAAGAACTGCCTACTAAAAAAATTGGAAGTGGAATTCTAGCAAGTCCTTAACTAAACACAAGCCAGCAGAGTCTCCTGAGTAAATCACTGCTTGGATTTTGATGACCATGTTTGTCTCTGCAGAGTTCAGCACATCGTGGGGAACCTTTTTATGCAGCTCGTTTTGGGTATCCCCTTGGAAATGGTCCACAAAGGCCTCCGAGTGGGGCTGGTATACCTGGCAGGAGTACTTGCAGGTCAGTGTTCCAAGGGTAACAGTCAACTTCTGAGCTCTTAGGGTTAAAAGTGAAGGCGATAGAAGTTTCTAGTGGGCTTCCTTTTTAAATCAAGATTTACTGCACTCCCAATAAGTAATAGGGAGCACAGGGAGCATTAGAAGTAATTTAATTAGTCATCATATATTAGAGGTACAGAGTACCTGAAGATAAGTCATTGTGCCTGTCCTTAGCTGTCTTGCACTCAGATTTTGCACAATTGGAAACTAGCTAGTCTGGTGTCTAGGTACATTCATTGAGGAAAGACCTAAACCAGTCATGGAGGCCCTTGTGTGTCAGACTAATGATGGATTTGCATTTAAGAAAGACAACTTTAGCTGAGTGCTGTGGCTCACTGGCTCACGCCTGTAATTCTAGCTACTTGGGAGGCAGAGATCCGTAGGATCATGGTTCGAAGCCAGCCCCGGCAAATTGTTCTTGAGACCATATCTCAAAAATACCCAACACAAAACAGGGCTGGTGGAGTGACTCAAGTGGTAGAGCACCTGCCTCACAAATGTGAGGCCCTGAGTTCAAACCCCAGTACTGCTAAAAAAGAAAAGAAAAAAAGACAACTTTAAGGGGATGTAGATAATACCTAAAGAGGCCCAAAGACGGAGGATGGACCAGAAGCGTATGACAGTGCTCTCTAAAACGTGCCAGTCGGGGAGTATGTTAGCGCTCCTGTGCTGGTGGAGTGGGTCAAGTGGTAGAGCTCCTGATTAGCTAGTGTGAGGCCTGGAGTTCAAACCCCAACAAACAAGGAAACAACCCCTCCCCCCAAACCTCCTGTCTAATCATTTATTGGATTTACTTACTGGAAACTTAAACAATTAACTTTTAATTTTCAGAAAACTGTAGATTTACCTGCAGTTAATATAAGCAATATTGTTTAGAGAGCCCGTTAGCCGGTTACCCAAATGGTTTCAGCTTGCAAAACTTTAGTACAGCATCACAACCAGGATATCCACATTAGTACAGTCAAGGTACAAACTGTTCCCAAAACCCCAAGAATCCATCGTGTTGCTTTTGTCACTCTAGCTGCCCACTCTCCCACACTCCTTTATCCTTGGTAACTACTAATTTGTTCTGCACTTCTATAATTCTGTCATTGCAAGAATGTTACACAGCCTAGCTGGGTGCAGGTGGCTCACGCCTATAATCCTAGCTAATCAGGAGGCAGAGATCAGGAGGATTGCAGTTCAAAGCCAGTCCAGGCAAATAGGTCACAAGATCCTATCTTGAAAAAAACCCTTCACAAAAATAGGGCTGGTGGAGTAGCTCAAGGTGAAGGCCCTGAGTTCAAGCCCCAGTACCATACATACCCATACACACACACACAAAAGAATGTTACATAAATGGAATAATCCAGTATATGATCTCTGAGGACTGGCTTTGCTCACTCAGCATAGTTCTCCAGAGATTCCTCAGGGCTGTTGAATGCTCAATATGTAACACTTGCTTGACCGTCAACTCATTGAAGGGTGTCTGGGTTATTTCCAGGTTTTATGGTTGGGAATAATGATGCTATAAACATTTACATCCTTAGTTTTTGTTGTTGTTTTTTTGGAGACAGGGTCTTACTGTATAGCCCAGGCTTGACTTGAACTCAAGATCCTCCTGCCTCAGTCTCCTGAGTGCTTGGCTTACTGTGCCCAGCCCTGGATTGTGTATTTTTTATGATTCTATTTCATCTCTTTTGGTGGTTTATGACATATGTCTTTAACTTATCATATTCTATGTTCAGGGGATATTCTTTCTTCTTCTTCTTCTTCTTTTTTTTTTTTTTGGCAGTACTGGGGTTTGAATGCAGGGCCTTGTGCTCAATAGGCAGGTGCTCTACCACTTGAGCCACTCTACCAGTCCTCAGGTGATAGTCTGTCACTTGTCATATAGTATAGTAATAACCTTACAATGGTATACTCGCATTTCTAGCCTGAGTCCTGGTGTTATCCGACGTTTTAGTTTACATATGTTATAAAGCCCACATCATATTACTATTTTAGTTTATATAATTAATTATCTTCTAAAGAGACTTAAATAAGTAAAACACTTGCACATTTGCTCCTCTTACCATTTACAGTGTTCATCCTTCCTTTATTCTGCTTCATTATTTCCATCAGTTATCCTTTTCTTTCTGCCTGAAGATTTCCTTTCACACTTCTTGTACTACAGGTCTACAGGTCAATTCTCTAAGCCCTTCTGTCTCTGAAGAAAAATTCTTCGTTGTGTAGGGGTGGGGTGGAAGTGGGTTGCTAGGGATGGATCCCCAGAGCTGTGCACACCACAAGTGTGTGCTCCACCTCTGAGCTTTCCCCCAGCCCCTGCCTTCATTTTTAAATTTTTACTAGGTATAGAATTCAAGCTTGTCAGTATTTATTTTCCTTTAAGTGCCTTCACAAGCTTTGTTCTATTGTCTTCTCACTTTTATCATTTCTAATGAGAAATCTGTTAACATTCTATCTTTCTTTTTTTTATTGTTTTATTATTCATATGTGCATATAAGGCTTGGGTCATTTCTCCCCCTGCCCCCACTCCCTCCCTTACCACCCACTCCGCCCCCTCCCTCTCCCCCCGACCCCCTCCATACCCGGCAGAAACTATTTTGTCCTTATCTCTAATTTTGTTGTAGAGAGAGTATAAGCAATAATAGGAAGGAACAAGGGTTTTGCTGGTTGAGATAAGGATAGCTATACAGGGAGTTGACTCACATTAATTTCCTGTGTGTGTGTGTTACCTTCTAGGTTAATTCTTTTTGATCTAACCTTTTCTCTAGTTCCTGGTCCCCTTTTCCTATTGGCCTCAGTTGCTTTTATGGTATCTGCTTTAGTTTCTCTGCGTTAAGGGCAACAAATGCTAGCTAATTTTTTAGGTGTCTTACCTATCCTCACCCCTCCTTGTGTGCTCTCGCTTTTATCATGTGCTCAAAGTCCAATCCCCTTGTTGTGTTTGCCCTTGATCTAATGTCCACATATGAGGGAGAACATACGATTTTTGGTCTTTTGGGCCAGACTAACCTCACTCAGAATGATGTTCTCCAATTCCATCCATTTACCAGCGAATGATAACATTTTGTTCTTCTTCATGGCTGCATAAAATTCCATTGTGTATAGATACCACATTTTGTTAATCCATTCGTCAGTGGTGGGGCATCTTGGCTGTTTCCTTAACTTGGCTATTGTGAATAGTGCTGCAATAAACATGGATGTGCAGGTGCCTCTGGAGTAACCTGTGTCACAGGACATCCTATCTTTCTTTGTCCCTTAGTTTTTATTAATCTAGCTGCTTTGAAGATTTTCATAGATATTGAGAAATTTGGTATTTTTTATGCCCTGTTTTTTTATTTTTTATGTTTCTTGTGCTTGGGGATTTTTTCTGTACCTGACTTTTGTCCTCTCCCATGAGGTATTTAATTAGTTACTAGACTGATTAAAAGTGTCCTGTGGTCATGGCTCAAGCAGTAGAGTGTCTGTACAATGTCCTGAGTTCAAACCTTAGTTCTGCCAAAAAATACAAAAATTTAAAAAAGACAGCTCCCTATAGCTCACTAATGCTGTATATATAAAAAATTTTTTGTATATTTTATTTTGGATAGTTTCCATTGCTGTGTCAAGTTCACCATATTTTTCTTCTGCAATGTCTAATCTGCCATTAAACCCACATCCCCCCTCCATTTTTTTTTTTTGCCAGTACTGGGGTTTGAATTTAGGGTCTTGGTTTGCTAGGCAGTGTTCTACTTGATCCACTCCACTAGGCCTGTTTTGTGTTGGGTATTTTTGACATAGGGTCTGGGAAACTATTTGCTGAGGCTGGCTTCAAACTGTGATTGTCCTGCTCTCAGCTTCCCAAGTAGCTAGGATTACAGGCATGATTCACAGGTGTCCAACAGGACAGGGCCTTTTTGTTGTACTCTACCAAACAAACATTGTATCAATTCAGAGGTTTTCCAGTTTAGAAAGTTACACAGACTGTCTGGCACTGTGTCGGCGACAGGTGGTTTTCCCACCTCTTTTTTGGTGGCACTGTCTTTGACTCAGGTAACTCCTCACACACTCCTTTCTTGAGTTTTCTGTGTGTGCGTCTCTGCTCTCTGGTCTTGCGAGTTTCCTAGCTCTCTCTATTTGACCATAAACACCATCTTATCAACTCTTAAGTGTGCTGTGACCTGCTGGGTTCCCCCTCTGTGCCCTGTAGACTACTCTCTCAAGGCAATACCTGAGCAATCAGGAAACCCATCTAATTTATTTCCTGTCTCTTGGGGTTCCACCTTATGCAAATTCTATATGATGTTCTCTCTGTCTTACTTTGTTCTATTACTTGCTTTCCTTCTCTGTTGTCTGATGTCCAATACATTTTCTTCCATTTTCAGCACATATTAATTATAGAATATGGGTGACTTTTTTTTGTGTGTGGGATTGGGGTTTGAACTCAGTATCACACTTGCAAAGCAGGTGCTCACAAAGCAGGTGCTCTATCACTTGAGCCACACCTCCTGTCCATTTTGCTGTGGTTATTTTGGATTTGGGGGGGGGTCTCATGAACTATTTGCCTGGGGCTGGCCTTGAGCCATAAACTTCCCAATCTCAGCTTCTTAAGAAGCTTGGATTGCAGGCATGAGCCATGGGCCTCAGCTAATTTTTCTTCTTCTTCTTCTTCTTCTTCTTCTTCTTCTTCTTCTTCTTCTTCTTCTTCTTCTTCTTCTTCTTCTTCTTCTTCTTCTTCTTCCTCCTCCTCCTCCTCCTCCTCCTCCTCCTCCTCCTCCTCCTTCTTCTTCTTCTTCCTTCTTCTTCTTCTTCTTCTTCTTCTTCTTCTTCTTCTTCTTCTTCTTCTTCTTCTTCTTCTTCTTCTTCTTCTTCTTCTTCTTCTTCTCTTCTTCTTCTTCCTCCTCCTCCTCCTTTTCCTTCTTCCTTCTTCTTCTTCCTCCTCCTCCTCCTTCTTCTTCCTCCTCCTCCTCCTTCTTCTTCCTCCTCCTCCTCCTCCTTCTTCCTTCTTCTTCTTCCTTCTTCCTTCTTCCTCCTCCTCCTCCTGAGCAACTCCACCAGCCCTTTTCTATGATGGATATTTTCAAGATGGGTCTCATGAACTATTTGCCAGGACTGACTTTGAACTGCAATCCTCCTGATCTCTGTCTTCTGAGTAGTTAGAATTACAGGTGTGAGCCACTGGTGCTTAGCTACCATTGGGCTTCTTGCTTGCTAGGCAGGTAATGTATCCCTGAGCCACTCCCCCAGCCCAGTGTGGGGATTTTGTTGTGATCTTTCCATACATGTTTATAATATACTCCGATCATATTCACTCCACTATTACTCTCTCATATCCCTCCTCCCCCATCCCCTTTCAAAAAAATCTTCTTTTTTATTTTCTTTTTACTGGGGGGACAATGTGACATTTACAAACATTCTCACAATATATTATATTTGAATTCACCCTCTTCATCATTCTCCTTTATGCTCCCTCCCACCAAATTCTTGCAATTTTAAAAAATGGTTTTCATTGTGACTTTTACATGCATAGAATGTACTTCGATGATATCCTCCCCCTCTTGCCCTCTCTTTCCCCCTCCCACTGTTCCCTTCCCAAATAGTTCCTTTCCCAAATAGTTCCCCATTCTTGTTCATACTCATTTTTTTCTTTAGGTTACAGGTGAAAAAAACCCCATGGTATTTATCTTTCTAAGTCTGGCTTGTTCCTCTAACATCTCCAGCCCCATCCATTTTCCTGTAAATGACATAATTTCATTCTTTTTATGGCTAAATAATACTCCACAGTGTGTGTGTATACCAGTTTCTTTATTACCTGTCTGTTGATGTATACCAAGGCTCACTCCATAGCTCGGCTATTGTGAACAGTGCTGTGATAAGCATGAGCGTGTGGGTGTCTCTATTGTGTGATGTGATGTCCATCCAGATCTTGAAGACATTTTTTTCCCATGCTTTTGGTTTTTCAAGTGGAAGGGTAAATCTATATTTGTTATTTTTGAGACAAAGTTGTGCTATGTAGCCCAGGTTGGCCTCGAACTTGCTCATAATCCTCCTTCCTTTTTTTTTTGTTGGCAGTGCTGGGGTTTGAACTTTGGGCTTCACTCTTGTTAGGCAGGTGCTCTACCGCTTGAGCCACTCAGCCAGTCCACAATCCTTCTTACTTAGCCTCCCGAGTCCTAGCCTGCAACTGTACCTGGCTGATATATCTATATTAAAATAAATAAATTCCTCATAAGATTATCATGCAATCTCCTCAGCCCTAGCATGTAGGTTAGCATTTGAGAATCTTTGCTCTGACTCTACTGGACTAGTTCTCACTGATCTTTCAGTCATCTGTGTACCTTTGTTTCTGTCCGGTTTTCTAGTTTGCTAAGTCCTGAATACCTTCTGTCTCCTTTCCTTATAAAAGTAGTCTTCCAGGACTACTTGAAATGCCATCTCCTCTTTCTCCTCAGAGAAGCAGGGCCTCCACCTCTCTTCTGAGAAAGGCGCTCCTTCCTGAGGCTGCTACAGCAAATCCACAACATTTTCATCATAGTTGTTAAATTCTGCATTTGATAACTGTTGTTTGCTCATCTTTTTGTAAGGTTTCTAGGTCAGACGTGGTCTTTCATGCACAAAGGAAATATTGTATTGTATCCTTCAGAACGAAGGAGGGCCTTGAAAGGAAGAAAGCAAGTATCAGAACTAAGTAGTATAAAGAGAACTTCTTGTCTGTAAAGCTTTTGGGCCAGGAAATCCAGGATTGGGTTGGGGACTAAGTTTCCTCTTGCCTGGGGACTCTGATCGAATCAACTGCGGAATAGGGTTCTGAGGACACACCCTGGCTCCATTTGCTGAGAAAATGTTGGACTGTCTTTGGCATTTTGATAATTTTGGCTAAATGTGTTGGACATTTTGAAATAATGTCTAGCAAGTGTAGGATATCTGTCAGGCAGTGTTTTGGTATGATATGTGTGTCAACTCATTTACTTTCTCTCACAGTCCATCAGAGACAGTTTTATTAATATCTTCACATTATAAATAGGGAAACAGAGGCACAGGGAGACTGAATAACTTCCTCAAGCCAACATTTGTTAATTCTGGTTATAAAATCTCTGCTCTTATCTCTGTTAGGCCACTTTTCTAACAGATACCTAATGCTTCAGAAACACTGGGACAGCTAAACTCCATGGGTGTATTTATACAGTGCAGAAGGGACAAAATGAATTAGTTGCTTGTTAATATGAAAATGGTTCAACCCCCCCCCCAAATTTGTACCTCTGATTCGAACCGTTTCCCTCTCCCATTCTTGCCATGACTGATCCTTTGTTTTATTTCTCTAGGTTCCCTTGCCAGCTCCATTTTTGACCCCCTCAAATCTCTTGTGGGTGCTTCAGGAGGAGTCTATGCCCTGATGGGAGGCTATTTCATGAATGTGCTAGTGGTAAGAACTTTGGGAATGGAGTCTATGGACCTTTTTTTTTTTTTTTTTGGTGTTACTGGGGTTTGAACTGAGGGCCTCATGCTTGCTAGGCAGGTGTTCTAACACTTGAGCCATACCACCAGCCCTTTTTTTATATTGGGTATTTTCAAGGGGTCTCACAAACTATTTTTCCAGACTGGTCTTGAACTGCAATCCTCCTGATCTCTGCCTCCTGAGTAGTTAGGATTGTATTTGCGAGCCACCTGTGCCTGGCCAGATGGACTTTTTGCAGCAGGATACAAAATCAACTTACAAAAATCAGTAGCCTTTCTATACACCAACAATGAACAAATTGAGAAGGATATAGGAAAACAATTTCATTTACAATAACCTAAAAAAAAATCAAATATCTAGGAATAAATTTAACAAAGGATGTAAATGACCTCTATAAAGAGAACTACAAACCACTGAAGAAAGAGATCGAGGAAGACTACAGAAGAAAGATCTCCCATGCTCATGGACTGGCAGGATCAACATGGTAAAAATGGCTATCCTACCAAAAGCAATCTACATGTTCAACACAATTCCCATGAAAATCCCAATGACATTCATCACAGAGATTGAAAAATCTATCCTAAAGTTCATTTGGAAACACAAAAGACCTTGAATAGCCAAGGCAATACTGAGCAAAAAGAGCAATGCTGGAGGTATCACAAAACCAAACTTCAAACTATACTAAACAGCCATAGTAATAAAAACAGCATGGTACTGGCACAAAAACAGACATGAAGACCAGTGGAACAGAAGAGAGGACTCAGGTATGAATCCACAGCTATGCCCACCTAATATTTGACAAAGGTGCTAAAAACATACAATGTAGAAAGACAGACTCTTCAACAAATGTTGCTGGGAAAAGTAGTTATCTGACTGCAGAAAGCTGAAACAAGATCCATGCCTGTCACCCTGTACTAGTATCAACTCAAAGTGGATTAAGGACCTTAATATCAGACCCAAAACCTTGAAGTTAGTACAGGAAAGAGCAGGGAGTACTCTGGAAGCAATAGGCATAGGCAAGGACTTCCTCAGTAGAACACAAGTGGCTCAGCAACTAAGAGAAAGGATGGACACATGGGACTACATGAAGTTAAAAAGCTTCTGCCCAACAAAAGAAATGGTCTCTAAATTGAAGAGACCACCCACAGAGTGGGAGAAAAATCTTTACTAGCTATATATCAGACAAGGGACTGATAACCAGAACATACAGGGAGCTCAAAAAACTAAACTCCCCAAAAATCAATGACCCAATAAAGAAATGGGAAACTGAACTAAACAGAACTTTTTCAAAGGAAGAAGTCCAAATGGCTAAAAAAAACATGAAAAAAATGCTCACCATCCCTGGCCATAAAGGAAATACAAATCAAAACTACACCACCACCAATAAATGACAAGTGTTGGCAAGGATTCAGGGAAAAAGGAATCCTCATACACTGCTGGTGGGGATGTAAGCTAGTGCAACCACTATGGAAAACAATATGGAGGCTTCTTAAAAAACTGAACACAGATCTGCCATATGATCCAGCAGTACCACTCCTAGGGATGTACTGGAAGGAATTCGACTCAAGTTATTACAAAAGCACCTGCACACCCATGTGTACTGCAGCACTAATCACAATAGCCAAACCATGGAAACAGCCAAGATGCCCCACTACCAATGAATGGATTAAGAAAAGTGGTAACTATACACAATGGAATTTTATTCAGCCACAAAGAAGAATGAAATTTTGTCATTTGTAAGTAAATGGATGGAACTGGAGAACATCACCTTAAGCCAAGTTAGCCAGGCTCAGAAGACCAAATATCACATGTCCTCCCTCATTTGCAGATTATAGCCCTAAAACACATGCAGTAACATTACTGGACACGGGTCACCCACTAAGGGGAGAAAGCACATGGGAGGAATAGGGAAAGGGAAGGAAACCTAAAACTTGAGTGTGGTTGATGTGCTCACTATAGAGGAGTGAAAATAATAATCTTAAATTGGCAGAGGCCACGATGGCAAGGGGACTAGGAAGTAGTAAGAGGTCTGGTAGAGATGAACCAATGTAGGTTGTAATACACACATGCATGGAAGGAATGCTAGGAATCTCTCTGTATAGCTATTCTTATTTCAAACTAGCGAAAACACCATATTTTTCTTACTGTATCCTGTGTTTTCTCTCCAACAAAATCAGAGAATAAGAGGGGGAGTGGTGATAGTGGGGTTTGAGGGGGGAGGCGGCCCAAATAATGTATACACATGTAAGTACTTGTAAAAACAATAAAATAAAATAAAAAATAAAAAAACAAAAAACAATACATGTTATTTGGTTCTAGAAATCTTCATTTATCAAATTTACTGAACACTTACCTTCTTCCTGAAAACTGTGTGGCCACTGGAGTTTACTGTTCATATTTTATCTTTTTTTGTGTGTGTGGTACTGGGGATTGAACTCAGGGACTCATGCACGCGAGGCAAACACTAAACCACTGAGCTATATCCCCAGCCCTTTATCTTTTTTTCTTATTTCAAAAGTAACAAAGACTAAATAAAAATTTAAATCAAAAAATAGAACATCAAGTATATATTCCTTCAGTATTTTTCTATATGTATTCAAATTCTACCATTTCTTGCTCCTTGTCTTTTGTGGTGTTTGGGATCAAACACATGCATGCTAGGCAAGTGCTGTACCACTGGCCTAGACCCACAGCCTCTAACAATATTAGTATTACAAAGATGACCTCCCCCTTCTAAGGCTTTGCATCTGAGCATACAGCATCCTGACTGTCCACTACCTTTGGTACACAGGGATCCCCCTCAGTTTTTTCAGGGGGTACATAACATCTTCCATCTTGCTGTATCCACATTTAAGGAATCTTTCCTTGAAAGAAAATGGGGTGATTTTAGCCTTTCACATTTACAAATAATGCTGTAAGTTGTTTTTTTGCAGGTATCTTTTGGCATTTTTCTGATTTTTTTGTAAGATATATTCCTAGAAGTGGATTTAGTGGATAACACTTTATTTGCCCTCCAAAGCTGGCATGTCATTTTATACTCCCATTATACTAGGTGAAAGTGCCAACCACTTCTTAACTTCTTTTCTTTTTCTTTCTTTTTTTTTGAGACAAGGTCTTGCTATTTGTTATAACCTAAGCTGGCCTCCCATTCATTATGTAGCCAGGCTGGCCTTGAACTTACTATCTTCCTGCCTTAGCCTCCTGAGTGCTGGGATTACAGGCATGCATCATCACATACAGCTCCAACCATTTTTTGTTCTTTTGGAATACTGAGGGTTGAATTTAGGGCTTTGAGCTTCCTAGGCAGGTGATCTACCACTGAGCTACTCTGCCGTCCCAACAATCACTTTTTTAAAACAGGTTAAAATCCTGATTAGTTCTTAAGTCTTTAACCATTTAGGTAAAAATAGTCTAGGAAAAAACACTTCATGGAAAAAAAGGGCTAGTGGAGTAGCTCAAGGTGTAGACCCTGAGTTCAAACCCCAGTACCAAAAAGAAAAAACTAAAAAAACCAAAAAGCCAGGATTGATGAGGGGACTCCCACAGCTTCCCAGTTTCCACGCAAAATCTCAGGTCCTTGAGATCCACAAACATTGAGAAGCATTTCAAGGTGTCTCATAACAAGGAGTCTCACAAGGTGAAAGTTTTAGCAAGGATTAATTTTAGTATAACAGGATAAAGTATAGACAAGGTGGGGGAGGGGAGAGGAAGAGAGAAAAACATTTCCTATTCCCCACAAAGGAAATGGGAGCACAGACTCAAGATGGTGGTCCCCAACTCTAAATTTTATACTGGAGAGCTGGGGGAATACTCATGGTTAAAGTTAATGGGTCTGGGTGGCTGAGATAGCTGACAGGGAGGGGTCACCCTCCCAATCAAATCCTAAATCAGAGACAATAGGATGCATGATTATTCATTCCACCTTGGATGGGTGGATCCTTGGATCCAACTTGGATGGATCCACCCATCCGAGGATCCTTGCAGCTTCTTAACATCTCAAAGAGGAAAGCAGAAGCAGGTAGCTCCTCTTTGTCTCCCTGTTTTTCTAACTTAGCATCTAAAGATGGTGGGGGGCCAGCTGCTCTGTCTCTCCTTGTCCCAGTGTCAGAGTCTAGCCCTTTAAATATTGACTGAGATATAATTTCCCTGTCTCCTCATCTATCTATCCTGCCTCAGCTCATTCCTGTAATCCTAGCTACTCAGGAGGCAGAGATCCAGGAGGATCTTGGTTTGAAGCCAGCCTGGGCAAATAGGCTTGAAAAACCCATCGCAAAAAGTGCTCAAGGTATAGGCCCTGAGTTCAAACCCCAGTATCTTGCCAAAAAAAAAAAAGTCTAGGGCAAATATCAAGTAATTACAAAAGTATTCTAGAGCTGGGTATGGTAGTACATACTTGTAATCCCAGCACTAGGGAGACTGAGGTAGGGGGTCATGAGTTCGAGGTCACTTAAACTGGAGTGAGTTCAGAGGTCAGCTGAGGTTATAAATCGAGATCTTGTTTAGGGGTGGGGGGAGAAAAAGGGGCTGGGGTTGTGGCTCAAGTGGTAAAGCACCTTCTTAGTAAGTGTGGATCCTTGAGTTCAAACCTAGTACCACCAGCCTTTCCCCAAACCAAACTAAAAAACAATAAAAACAAATGAACAACCTCCCCCCCAAAAACCAAAACAAAAAAAAAACTGTTGCAAATACAGAAGTCATTTAGAAAAATGTCTTTTCAAATTTTTGGATTGAAATCCATTAGTGGTTGTGGACTCCGTTTAAGGTTTTATGGCCAAAAACTAAACAAAAAGGAACAACAGCGGTGTGCAGCACACACAGTAAGGCCATGCGGCGTTTGAAGTATGCCTTTTGGTTTGTGTAAATCACCTCTTACTGCAGCTTGCAAATGGCTGATACAGAATAAACACACCTGTGTCACACCTTCACTCCCTTCTGAAAGGGAAGGTGGAGACTGATTCAGCAGTTCTCTAGGGACACAAGGAACTATGCAGGCTGCACCCAGATCTTTCAAAGCTAAAATTGAACTATATGTTTTGAGCAACATTTTCATTTCCTTTGAAGTTACCTAAACTGTTAAAGCCATGCTCGAATTTTACTTCAGTCTTTGCTAACTGCTACTGGGAAAGAGGAAGTAGCAAATGAGTATTAACTAAAAAAAGCTTAGAGCCATTTCTTCGGACTTAGTTTGACAGTATTTATTCAATCCAGCTCTTTACCTAGCTATCCATTTGACATGCTGTGTTGATTTTTATGTTCCTTGTATTTAATTGCCCGTGTGTCATTTATATGAAAGAATTAAGCAGCATAATGCATCTTGTCCTCCACAGTGCACCTGTGGAGTAAACTCAGGTGTAACACCTATGCTTTGTTTTGCAGGTATTAGACATTGCAGACATTGTTTTCAATGAAAAAGCAGGTGAAGACGGGTAGAGTTGAGGTTTCATTTGCTACCAGATAGCTTATATTATTATTATTTATCTCTTTGCAAGAATTTTCGAGAAATGATTCCTGCCTTTGGGATTGTCAGACTCCTGATCATCATCCTGATAAGTAAGTGAGCTTTGGGATCACCTTATATCTTCGGGAGACCTTTTCATACTTCCCAAGCACCACTGCTATTGCTAGCTGGAGTCAAAAAATTGTCATAGCTTTAGGCAGAAGGGGGTTCTTAGAGATGGTGGCATGTTGTTTTTGTTTTTGTTTCTTTCTAGTTTCTTGGCGGCAGCCAGGAAAGCAGGTGCCCTGCAGTTCAACAACCACAGCTCCGCTTACGTTTTATATGCTGGGCGTTCTCATTCAGACATCGGAAACTCAATCTAACTTTGTCTGAAAAGGGAAAGCTTAGAAACCACGGGGATAATCTCTCTTCTTCAATTTCTAAATTTTCAGACAAAAAAAAAAAAGCTGGGCCCTCGTGGCTCACACCTGTTATCCCAGCCACTCAGGAGGCAGAGATCAGAGGATCATGGCTCGAAGCCAGCCCAGGCAAATAGTTCGAGAGACCCTATCTCAAAAATATCTAACACAGAAAGGGCTGGTGAAGCGGCTCAAGGTGTAGGCCCTGAGTTCAAGCCCCAGTACCACACACACACAAAAAAATTTCCCTGTCTCCTCACCTATCTATCCTGCCTTATAAGGACATAGGACCAGTATATTAATTGTGAGTTCCGGGTGATTGTAGGTGTAGGTCACCTGGGGTATTAGAATTGTAGCCAGGAGCATTTCCTCCTTCCTGTTCAGGTCCACCTACACTAACAAAATCACAGGGAAACTGGGGGAGGACAGACCTTGGGGTCAGATTTGAAAGCGCTGGTGGATAAAACCTAGATTCTTTGAATCCAGAGTTCAGTTATCCACATTACAGAACAGGACAACTACCTCTGTGGAAAGAGACTAGGTTTAGTTTATGAGCCAGTTAACTGTAATGACACTAATATTTTATTCTGAGATAAAATAATTTACTTGCTTATAGTTTATAAACTGACAATTTTTTCCCCCACAAGAAATCA